AGTAGCTTTTACTCTGCTGCTCGTCTAGTTGCTCGTGCCCCTTTCTTTTCTCATATATCTCCATATCTTGTTCTCTTGCACTGGCTACCTATAAAATATAGAATAATTTTTAAAATTTGCACGTTCATGTATAAGTCTCAATCTAAATTATTTCCTAAGTACTTATCAGATATATTAATTGAACCTAAACGCCCCGGTTTACGATCGTCTTCTTCTTCTCGCTTTTTCTTAACTGGTGTTAAACACTCTTTTGCCAAATCTGCTTTTGCTTTTTCTGGTCCTTTTCTCTGGAACTCTCTACCTACTTCTCTAACTATTTCTCCATCACTTGCGAAGTTCAGAGCGGATCTCAAGACCTATCTGTTTTCAAAATTCATTGAGGAGCGCTGTTGAACATCGCGGAAATAGCGCTTTATAAGCTAATTGATTGATTGATTGATTGATTAGCATTACCATTTTCATCATCATTTTCTTTATCATCATCATCATCCGAATTATCATCGTCGTCATCTTCATCATCATCATTCTTCTCGTCTCTACCATCGTTATCATGATGCCTGGTTACCGCAGCGAACTTGTCAGACGTGAGCAAAATGATGCCAGAAAACCTTCCAACAATTTTCTTCCTTCGTTCAAAAAAAAACCTTCTTCAACGTTTTCTTAACTAATTTTCAACATTTTAAAAAAATGTTTCTTTTAAATAAAAAATATATTTTTTAAATAAAAAATATATTTTTTTAAAAAATATTTTCATTACTACACTTCTTAGTTTTTAGGTTTATGATTATTTTTTCTCATTTAAATTTTGAAAATAAAATTTTGTTAGTGGAATCGGTAAGGTTCTTAAAAGTGGAGAGCGAGCAAATTTTATGGCCATAAGTTTTAAACAACGTCATTGTCATCACAACAATAATTATAACAACTGCCATCATCCTCATCATCATCTTCATTTTCTATGGTATCATGATATCATAGTATCTCATTATGATATCATAGTATCTCATTATGGTATATCATTACTATCATCATCATGATCGTCAAGGCATCTTCCCATATACCAAATAATTTATAACAGATTTGAGTTGTTAATTTTTTAATGAAATAATCATTGAAAATATCTTCTAAGGAGTTTCAAAATTAAATGATCTCAATTAAATATTTACTATTTAACTTTAATTAAAATATAATATGAACAATAAACCAACAACAAATTTATTCAAATTAAATCAGATATTAAATATTAAATAAAATATAATTAAATATTAAGTTATTGTTACTGTTATATCTTTAATAAAACTCATTTAAAAAACAAAAACATAAAAAAGGAACAGTGTTCAAAATTAATCGAAATCCTCAGACAATGTAATTGTATCCTCTAAAATTTATTTATGGGTCTTCTTGTGCCAACGAAAAGAGCTACGATTACTGAAAGACTTACCACACGCACCACAACTGTAAGGCATTTCACCGGTATGTATCCTCACGTGAACATTTAAACTAGAAGATGTAGTATACGATTTACCACATACATCACATTTATATGGTTTCTCTCCAGTATGGGTCCTAATGTGTTTTTTTAAATCATGATGCATGACGAAAGATTTACCGCATGTATCGCATTTGTAAAGTTTCACTCCGGAGTGAAATTTTTTATGTTGCGTTAAGTAACCTTTACTTGAAAAGGACTTGTTGCAAACATCACAATGAAATTTTTTTTCAATCTTTGTTTGGTCTTCGTATTTTTCAACACAAAGTTTAAATTCGGTGTTAGAATCTTTGTTAGTCTCATCATCTTCAATTTTTATTTCATTTTCTTTACTTGCGGCATTAATATCAATTTTTACTGTTCCATCTTCCTTTGTCTGCTGAGTTATTTTGTCTTTCCGTAGATTTTGATTCTTTGTTTTATCATGAATTTTATCTACGAGATCGACATAATCTTTTTGACTGAATTCGTGTTTCAAAACTGCACGTACTTCATCGCTGAAACGTGAACTTGAAGTACTTAACTTTTCTTCCGAGATCGAAGGACAGACGACGTCATCAAGGGTAGAAAATTCAGCCTGATTATCATAATTGATAACAGCGCTTCCGTCAAATGGTTTGAATTTTTTGATTTTGGCCCTTTGGTTCTGAAACCCAAAATTAATCTGGCGAATACTCAGGCCGGTTTGAATGCAATTCGGTCCCTATCTTTGACATCGATATATTTTTTTTGACTAAATTCCCTTTCCAGAACTTCACGTATTTCATCACTGTAACGTTCTCGGTAAACTTCATCAGTACGAATAAAACCATTTTCATTCTTTGTTTTCTTTTCTTTTTTGTTGTTTTCATCTATACTATCTTTTGGAAGATTCAACAAAACCAATGGTGAAATGTTGTCGCTGGGTTTTTGTAGCCTCTGTAGTCGTTGCGTTTGTTGTTTTAGAAAATTCGGTGCATCAAGCAGTTGTTCCACTGGTAACTCGTTGATAATAGACTTTGGTTGTTTATTAATAAATTTCGGTAAAGTAATTTTTGCAGAGATAGAACTCACTGGACAGATGACGTCATTAAGGGTTGAAAATGCAGACTGATTATCATATTTGACCACATCGCTTCTGTCACATGGCTTCTCACTCTTGAAATTCTGTTTGTTTGAAGATAAATACTCGTAACTAATCTGTCCTCTCTCGCCAGATAGCTTCACATTTTCTACCTCTAAACTGGAAAAATGCTTTTCGTTATCTAAATTCAACAATTTTACAACATTATTGTCGCTGGGTTTCTGTAGTTCTTGTAGTTGTAGTTGTATTTGTTTATGGGCCTTCTTGTAGCGACGAAAAGGGGTAGGATCACTGAAAGACTTTTCACACGCACCACAACTGTACGGCTTTTCACCGGTATGTAACCTCATGTGTCTCTTTAAATCAGAAGATTTAGTAAACGATTTACCACAGACATTACATTTATATGGTTTCACTCCAGTGTGAATTTTGTGATGGCGCCATAAGTTTTTCTTACATGAGAAGCACTTATTGCAAACGTCACATTGAAATTTTCTTTCAATCTCCGTTTGGTCGTTGTATTTCTCAACACCATTATTCAATGTTTTGTTAGAATCTTTGTTCTTCTCATCATCTTTATTTTTCATTTCGTTTTCTCTGCTTGCGGAGTTATTAATTTTCACTGCTTCAGTTTTCTTTGTTTGTGTACGATTTTTAATTAATTCTTCTTCGACGTCATCTTGGGTAGAAACTTCAGCCTGATTATTATTATTATTATTATTATTGAAACATTTATGAAGCGCTAATTAAAGGAATCTCAAAAGCGCTATCTAACAAAAACTGAACTTAACAACATAATTGAAATAACAAACGAGGAATCATAATACATCGCACATAAATAAGATTAAAATTTGGTCATAAACAGAAAAGTAATCGATTCAATAAAACGAAAATACGAAATAATATTTAGAACATGTCGACTAAACAGAAAGAATCGATCAGTAATGCATTACAATGAAAATAAATGAGTTTTCAGTTTCTTCTTGAAATCACGCAGGTTTAGGTCCGGATTTCTGAGAGCAGCAGGCAGGTTGTTCCAAACAGTTGGTCCAGAAACAGCAATGTTACGAGAGCCTATACGGAGACTCGTTGTTGGGATCAACAGCAGGTTTGAAACATCGGATCTCAAGTGTGTTCCAGATGCTTTTGAAGATCTCTTTTTGAACCTGTCAGACAAATAAGATGGAGCTAGACCGTTGATAGACCTGTAGACAATTGTTGAAATTTTGAACAACACTCTTTTTTCGACGGTTAGCCAATGAAGTTCCTTCAGTATTGGAGACACATGATCGTATTTTAGAGCTCCAACAACAACTTTTGCGGCTCGATTTTGTATTGATTGAAGTACAGCCATGGATCGATCAGGCAAGTCATAAAACAAACTATTGCAATAGTCGACGCGTGAGTGCACAAATGCATGAACCAACGTCTGCAGCGTGGATGTATCTAGGGATCGTCGAATTTGATTGATTTTCCTGATTTGAAACATGCATTCGGCTGAGAGCTTCTTAATGTGTTGTTTCATTGACAAACCTGAATCAATCGTGAAGCCCAGATTAGCTGCTGTCTGACAAAATGCGATGACCTCATCATTAACAGTTATTGAATTTATATCTATTCTTGAAAGTTGCTGCCATGTTCCAATTGGTAAAAAAACAGTCTTGTTTTGATCCTGTTGTCTTGTAATTTAAATCATAACTGATCACAGCACTTCTGTCAAGTGGTTTGTCACTCATAAATTTCTGTTTGGATAACGTGGAAAATTCGTAACTGATCTGTTCTCCTTCCTCAGATAGCTTCAAATTTTTCAACTTTGGATCGGAAAGTGGCTTTTCGTTTTCCAACCAAAGATTCTAGATTACTTCCTTGGTATTGGTTGTATAGCTAATAAACTTATTTTAATAATTATAGACAGTAAATTAATTAAAATCTATTAATTGTAAATTCATCAGTTTACGATATTAAATAATTACGCGTATAGTGGTTTCGAATTGTTGTACAATAATTAATTTTAATATTAATTTAAATCAGTCCATAAAATCATCACTATGTTTTTACCATCTTTGTTCGCATTTTACAGTCTTTGTCGGTTTTATTGTTGTAAAGTTTTAATGAGCTTTGTGTGAAACTATAGATTTTTTTTTTATTGTACAATTTTTTCAAAGAATATTTCATAAATGAATCGATATTTTATTCATTAATAAACTTATCATTTACCTTAAACATTTTAATTTTTAAAAATATATGCTAATGGATCTTTTTAATTTGGTCGAAATTAAAAATTTTCCTAAACTAGAAACTTTTTTAAAATTTATCGTTCATAAATTTATTTGACTAAGACTCGTCACATACCTTAGTACGGGGAAAGCTAAATTCTACTTAGAACGCTGGTTTCGTCGTAACGAAGAAGGTATAAACCATTTTCGGTTTTTTTATTTGTCTTCTATAAGCAAATGAAGCTTTGTTCAATCGATCATGTAATATTTTCTTCAATCGATCATCTAGAGTTTAGTCAATTTTTCTAATTAAATATTAAATATTTATTTTCGATTCATTCTCGAAGTTTTCGGTAACAACATAACAGCGCATTAATCCACGCATCGCATCACGTGATAAGTTTGGGACTGTTTGCAGTCAAACCGGACGCTACTGTAATTTAGTGTTTTTCATTAGTTCTCAGAAGTATCAAAAACAACAATACGAGCACCACACACGGGAATGCTATTGTTCAAAGCAATTTTGAACGCAAACATCGCCCACAATAAGCAAGGATGTCTTTGCGTTCCAACCCAATGACTGCTACATCTCGTCCACATTCTTGAAGTTTTATTTCTATCAATACTGGAAAGTTAAATACTTTAATCTTTTTTCTCTATAATTTACGTTATTTTTCAGTTTTAAAAACTTGAAACTGTAATTCAGAAACATTTGGATAAGTTTACTTTTTTGTTGGTTACTAACAACTACTGAAAGGCAAAATAAAAATTTTTGAAATGGGAAAATTTTCATGCAGGCAGATCCGAAAAAAGTTGTATCAACAATCTCGCTATCAAAATGCGTTCTTTTCTAGAATGGCAATATAAGTAGATACACTTGTTACCCCACTTAATGTACCTTGTGTTGCAATGACTGGTTTTGAATGTAAAGAAATTTCGGTTTATTTAAAAAGGCATGTGTAGTTTATTGTATTTAGCACATGTATTCACTAGTGAACTTATAAAGATAATGAAAAAGATGATGACAAATACAATGACACAAGTGACGATGATGATGGTAACGTTGATGCTAACATTAATGATGATTATGACGATGTATTCACGTATGATTTCCACGTGTTCTTACTTATCTCTTGAGCATTGGAAAGAAGAAAGCACTGCTATCATTTGAATAATAAGAATGATGACTATTACTACCACTACAACAACCACAACTACTACTATGATACTACTACCGAGACGACGATAAGTACTACTACTACTACTACTACTACTACTACTACTACTACTACTACTACTACTACTACTACTACTACTACTACTACTACTACTACTACAATACTTCCACTGCTATTTTTAGTATTCCTCGTCGTATGTAAAAATAACAATAATGTCGATAAAGATGAGAACGCTCTCTTGTTTTGCAGAAACACGTAAAATAAAATGAAGTGAGATAAATGAGATAAAAGAAAATGGAGTCAAATCTTATTAAAATGTTGCATGCAAATCTGTAGTGCTCGCCCCATGTGGCCACGTAGAGATATTGAAACCAGTGTGAAATTGACTTGAAAATTATTTTTAATACGGAGAGAGGAGTTAAATTCAGTGTAAATAAATTAAGTTCAAATTGATTAAACATACTTTGGAAATAATAAAAACAATAATGACAATAATAAAAAAAAATTTTGTTCACGATCAAAAGACATGAAGTTATAAAATCAAATTATACTATACTGAGAGGATGGGCAAAATGTTCTACAATTAAGCAGTGAATCAAATGATAATAATAATAATAATGGGAACAAACTTTATTTCTTTCTAAAAACATGCATGAGTAAAGTATAAAGTTAATGTTCAAAGATAAGATATGTTCTTACTCTTTGCCAATGACAAGTGCAAGGCGTTAGAAAGCAACAAATCTAATCATATGTTATCTAGCTCACAGTATATATCGTACGAGGAAGAAATTAGAGTTAGAATAAGGTTATTTATAAAAGAATCTGTCTATGAAATGTTAACTGTTGACAAATCCAATTTATTAAAAATGCCTATTGGAGACATTCCGAATGTTTAAATGATTATAATTAATTTTCTTTCATGCTGACATTGAGCTTATCCTTGTATTTATTTTGATGGCTAGGTTTGTTTCGTTAAAAATAATAACAACGACAATAATAAATGTTCCAATAAATAGTTTCAATAATTGTGTTTTCTAAAGACATTTTTAACTTCAATTACGCTGAATTAGAAATAGCTGCCATTGAAAACCATTTAATTATTTTCCTTTCAATTTAAAAATAATTATAAATCATAATTTTAGCGTTTTATCATTAATCTAAAAAATTTTAGCAAATGTTTATACATTATTTCATTGGTTTACAGTTTGATAAATACGTTTATTCATCTGTTTATACATTCGTTCATTTAATCGTTAATTTGTTCATTCATCCGTTTATTTGTTCATTTGTTCATTCGTTCGTTCATTTGTTCATTCGTTCTTTCATTTGTTCATTTTTGCGTTTATTCAATGGATTATTTTTTTAATTTAAAATTTTTAAATAAAAATTTTTCATCATCAGTCATCTGGTTAACCCTTTTGCCTGAATGTGTTTGCTGAAAATTTCTATTCATCCATCCATGAAGATGGATATGCAATGCAAATAATATTTTGTACTGTTCTATAATCTATCCTAGTGGGTGAACCAAAAGTTCAGAATAAAACTTTAAAATTTCAACGGCAACAAGCAGTGTAAGGTCTTAAAATGAAATGAAAAAGCGAGCTTCGGTTTTGAAGACTGCATTGAATTAAAATACAATAATGTTACTTTACATTTTCTTCCTAAATTCAAACTGCAGGTAGACATGCAGTGGCGGGTCCAGTAAATGCGGGAATGAATCCCTCCTAGAACACGGAAGAAGGGAATATAGCAGATTCTGGAAAAATATTAAGCCGAGAAGTTTCTAAACGAAATTTGAAATGCCATCAATTTTGCAATTTTTCAAAATCACCCACCGTTCGTGAAATTCTGTATCCGCCGCTGTAAATATTTTTTTCAGTTATTATTAAAACAACTTTCGACTTTTAATAAATACTTTCAAAATTTCTACATTAAAAGGTATACCAGTTTTAATTCATTGCTTGTCAATTTAGTTTAGACTTAAAATTTTTAAAAACAATTTAATAAATTCTGTTTCATCATCATGATATTCAATGTATTATCATGTAGATTGCGTGTGTTCCGTATATTGGAAATCTACGCTTTCTATTAAGATAAACATCTGAAGACAAAAACTTATATAAATTACATGTTCAGTTTTTGCCCACTTTTATTTTTTTCATTCAAATTTTACCCAATTTCCTAAAATTAAAATTAAAACATTTAAGTTTCAAAAATTTAAATTAAAAATAGAAGGTAGCCATAGAAAATAAAACATTGAAAGGCAAACAATATGGTTTTTGTTTGGAGTAACAAAGACAGGCATTACATTACATTAACGCCCTGTTGTACGATATATGTATGTTGTTAAATATATAAATATATATATATATATATATATATATATATATATATATATATATATATATATCTACACACACAAACACACACACACATATACGCACATATATGTATATTATATTCAACTTCGTTAAATATAACACTTTACGTGTTATAATTATCGAAATTTATCTATTTATTTAGTTTTGTTATTTATTTATTTAATTATGTATTATATATTTATGTTATAATAATCAAAATTTATCTCTTTTTCTATATGTATTGGTAGGAAGAATCACAAATTGGCCGTTGTTATGGCTGTTATTGTAATGAATGTAATGTGAAATTTTAACATTGTGGTCAAAGATTTGTCTAGTTATTTTAGTTTTGTGTTCCTCTTTCGTGTGATCCTTTATAGCGCCAGTTTGTACGTGCATCGTGATTCTTCTCGATAACTTGCTCGTCGTCATACCAATATGTTCAGAATTATCGTGCCCACATTCACCAATATTACATTTGAACAAATATATTAGATGGCTATGATCCATTATCAATTCCGGTTTACTAGTGCAGTTGTTTTCAAACACAAGAGATGACATTCTTGGGTTGGAGTTTGATTACTACAAATTTACTACTCCATCCAAAGAACGTCATCTCTTGGGATGTTCTAATTTGTATTCCTCCACAGATGCTCAGAATGTGTCGTTACTTGCTCTTTTAGATATGAGCTCTGCCTTTGATTGTGTTGATCATACATTACTTTTACCACCACAAGACATGCAGTCTTATTAGGTCTCCGCAAATTCAACTTCATAACTTTTATTTCCTTTTTTGATATGTTGTTGATTATGAATAAACTTTGAAAAACTTTGAAGCTCCAATATTAATACGGATTATCGAGTGTTGTTTTTCAATTGATTGGGTAATATCTTTCTGGTCATACACTACAGATTCTGTTCAGGTCTAACTTGACACATGCTGAAACTGTCACAGGGTTTGGTCCTCTCCTATTTGTGTTTTACACTGTAGATGTTTTCAAAATCATTGGCTGATATAATTTCAAACACCACAGTTTTGCTGATGATATTCATATTATTGCTAGTGCTCCTCTGTGTCGTTTTGATGATCTTGTTCGCAGACTCAGATCATGTTTTTCTTAAATTAATGAGTGGATGATGGCAAATAGGCTAAAATTGAATCAATAAAAAACTCAGTTTTTACCGGTTGGCACTAGGCAGCAATTAGAAAAATAAACATTGAGTCTATCAGACCTGATGATTCTGATTCTGACATTGAATTTTTTAAAACTGCACGCAACCTGGGATTTTTTTTGATAATAACATGTCTTTTAATGTTCATACAAAGACAGTTTCAAAAAAATGCTCTGGGAAATTGCATAGACTTAGACGCATCAAAAGATCTTTAATCAGGCATACTCTTCAATGTCTTGTTTATTTCTTTATCTACTCAAAAATAGACCATTGCAACAGTTTATACTTCGGCTTGTCTGGTGTAAATATGTCTAGACTGCAGTCGGTTTAAAATTGGGCTGCAAAGATGATTTCAGGTGGTCTTAAGCCACTTCTTTTTGATCTTTACCAAAGGCCTTTTGCAAATCTAGAAGTGTGATGATCATTGTTCTCTGCTGCTTTTTTTGCAATCATTGATCCTGTGAGTTAAGAGCTGTGCGTGTTCAGTCGGGCCATCTACTTTTGGGTAAAATCCTTCTTGTATGTTTTTGATGTAGAATAATAATAATAATAATATATATATATAATTATATGCATGTGTATGTATGTAGGTGTACTTCAAATATATATAGGTTTAGTTTTAAATATTATAATATTAAATGACAGATTATATTTATGTATACCGTGTATAGGCAGTATGTGGTATATAATAGATATAATTCTACATATATTCAAATATATTCTATATATTTTTGGCTCATATAATTCATATATCTCTATTTATAAAGTACATACATCAAGTGAGCCAATCAAACAAAAAAGAGATTACGTACCCATAAATAACCTTTCATTGTCATGCCATGGTATGTTGTTCATTGAATAGCAGGCAAGTCTTAACAAAGGCCATGTTGAACAATGGCAACTCTTACTTCAAAATTTTTGGTGCGTTTGTACGCTGCTAAATTCATTGAGTCCGGCGAATATTTTCGTTAATAATTTTAAAAAATTATTTTTCAGATAACTATTTTTATAATTATTCGCTGAATTGTTTGTGATGAAATTTATGTCATGTATCTACTAACTAGCAAAAAACTCTAATAAACATTTTTAAACTATTATAATTTCGAATTAAATATTGAAGAAATCACACAATGAATATTTTAACTTTTAGAAGCCTGGTTTAAAGTTTAACAGATAACCAGCCAGAATTATTAATTAGTTGCGATAGGTAGATAAGAAGCTTAAGAAAAAATCCAGCACTAGGTCCCACAATCTTCCTAAGCAGAATGGCCGGCACAACTGGACAAGATCCAAATTCTCTTATCAACGGGATGTTCAATGACGCTCACCATTCTAAAACAAACATTCTCAACACCAATGCATCTTATGGGTCTCTGAATGACAACCTGACGAACGAAACTCTCCAAATGACCAAAGCACGTAAGTACACTCAGAGATCCACTAACTCAAACGTTCATTGAAACAGTTAAATAATTAACGTTATCAAATTTATTCTACTTTTACAACTTTATTTGATAACATTTGGAAGTTCTATTATATTATTATTTAAAACTAAATTCATAAATATTATTATTATGGATATTATGTTCTATTATATTATTATTTAAAATTAAATTCATAAATATCGCATCACAATCCACTCGATCTTTACTGATAATCTTCAATTAGAAACAATCCAATAGTAATATTTTAAAATTCATCAGCGAATTCCGTCAAAAAATCATTGAGGCACGGTCGTCTTTTAGGTATAATGATAGCGCTGTTAGCATGCTCTACTATTCTGGCAGGCATTGTCAACATAATATATTCGACATTGGCACTTGCTTCAAATTCATGGGGCTGTCTCAACTCTCCAGCTAACATTTTCTCCCAAACTTTGGGTCCGAATTCTGCACCCATGGTCATACTAAACTGGATGTGGATAAGCGTCGGAATGTGGACAGCTATAGCAGTTAGTTTTCTTAATCTTTGGCTTGTAATCTTCTATGATATATTTGATCTATTTTTCAGTTAATTTTCTTAAGTTGCTTAAACATAAACGCTGTTTGTTGCTATCATGGTAAAATAGAGAAACATCATTTCTCATTAGCAAGCACAAGGATTCAATGTACTAGACAAACATTGATGTTTCGTTCTATACAATAATATAAAATTCTCTCCCATTACTAACTTTTACAAATGAGCATTTCTATTACGTGTGCACATAGCAGATTCATTTGGTAACATCTTTGATAACTAGATGATAGACGTACAACAAACTACAAATTTTTTAATGTATACACGTTTGCATTTGTGTGAATCACTTCAGCCAATGTTTAAGAAATCATGAATATATAAGATTTTTTTTAGCTAATAACACTTGTGAAATTTGTTCAAACTTTTAATCAACGATAAAATTTAATACTCTTAAACTAAATAAAATAATTTCGACGCGTTTCATTTACACGTGCACACACAAAATAATTATTTATTTACGGCATTTGTAAATTTTTAAACAATATTATTTGATTGTTAATTATTCTAATTATTCACACACACACACACACACACACACAAACACACACACAAACACACACACAGCCATTAGTAGCGGGCTTAGCATTGTACAGAAGTAAAAGATCAAGAAAGAAAGGAGTGGCGGCAGAATTCAATCCAAACCTTCCTACCGAACTACAAAGTTCTCAAAACAACGACACAAATGCGGTATGTGCAAAGGTTTACATCAACTTATTTTCTTACTTCCCTCTCCTCATGTGACACCGCTTTGAACAATGCTTTAACCCCGTTGTGGATACAATCTCGTTAAAATAAACTAAAATAAGAAATTTTATAAAAAAAGGTCAGCAAACGTGTTTTAATGTTCGTTTTTAGATTTGCACTGGCTGAAAACGTGAAACGCTAACTGAAAAGAAATGCAACACATTCCACATTTTTTAAATTTCAATTTGCTATTACTCTACATTTTCGAATATAATTTACAAAGTAAATGTTATTATTTGATCCATCAAAATTAGGAATTATTTATGCGTGAAACTTTAAAACGAGCTTTTTCTACTTCAGAGATGCCAGCAATGAAATATTTTCAATTATCAAAATTATGTTTGGCTGAAAAATTGTAAACATCTGAGTAGCAAATTAATAAGATTGTGAGAAACTGTAATGAATTAACTAATGTTGTCAATCGTCAGGTCTTCACAAGAAAAGAAGATTTCAATTTGATAAGCTTAGAAACTCTTAGTAATGTCTCAACGAAGACCTTGAATCAAAATGTTCATACCTATTAATAAATGCGTATTAATGCAACTTTATTAAAATTTGTGTTGTTCACAATAAGTTTTAACAACAACGCAGACGCTAAAACACGCCCAGCAAACAAACATGTAACTACAAATTTATCAGTATTTGAATGAGCCACATTGTTGTAGCACATTGCTGTGCTTATTGTTTACATGTTTTTATATTGAAAACTTGACTGAAACTCAAGCAGTTGAATAGATATTGTTTAACACATTATATTTCAACACCTCAGTTAGATGTCTACAAAATATTTGCCTTTCTTTCAATCATCTTCTGTTTGCCGGTTTGTTTTGCAGTCGGGATCATCGACTCCATCCTGGTTAATACCCCAATCAATTTCATTATTTTAGATACTTTTACATTTTTTTAAATTACATTTTAAAATAGAAATTAATCTGTGCCGGTAATTAGACTCACTAGTGACTGTTTAAAACTCCACAGTCCTACTATTGCACAAGTAGTGGTAACGCCGCAAAATTCATCCTCCCAATCATCGTGCTGTCACTGGCTGTCCTTCAATTCGTTCTCATCTTATTGTCTTGGTACAAATCTAAGAACGCTTCAGAAGCTCAATATCAATACATTGGCAGCACTTTCACTGTTTATGAAGTTTTTGAGGCACAAAACAACCAACCACTATTAATAAAGGTAGTTTTTGTGCTTTTACGTTGAAAAATTTGTTTGCCTATATCAGCATGATGTGTTTTTGTTTTGTAGCAAAGTTTATTGCAGGGTATCATTTTTGAACTTGCCACTCAGTTCTTGATTTTCTGAGTTTAATTGTATTTAACTATTCTACAAATTTTAGTTTTAGATTACTATTTCCCGACCTCAAATTTTTTTTATTAGGAATTTAAAAAAGGTAACAATTTGCATTAATATCTAGTCGAAACTTTAATGCAATATATGTAATCGGGAGGCTTTATAAAATGTTTACTTATTACGAGTTACATGCGTCGACACTTTTCATTTGCCATAGCAAAACATTTGATGTCCAACGCTAATAAATAATACTAATGAAAGATTCCCAAATAGTTCTAAGTGTCACGAGTGTTTTTTCATGACTGCCTTTTAAACTGGGGTGACTGCATATATCGGGGTGACCTGTCATGGATAATCTTCTCAAACCGTTACGATTCATATGATACTAGGCAAAAAACTAATTATGCTGAAATATTTTGCAAATTCTTTAAACCAAAGTCAATTAAAAATAATCAAAATAAATAAAATCTTTGAAAGAGGTATGAAAGTTATTAATAAACTTTAAAAAATAAAAAATTTGTAAACTAAAGAATGATACCAGGCCCTAAAGCGCGCGGGGGTGGGTTTAAAGGCCAGTATTCAGTAAAAATATAAAATGTCCTTTTTGTTATAGAACGCCTATTGCATGGTAATGAGCATAATGAGCTAAGGGTAATTAGCATATGTACTGTAAAGGGGTAATTATCACATGACGTATTTGTTCTATTAAGCTATAATAATCCGTTCCTAATGCACTGCCCCTTGGTAGAGACCATATTAATTTTAATTTACATGAATTTTCATGTTACTGAGAAAAAATTTAACGTTTGCCGATTGAAATTCATTTAGTTTTTATAGTAACCATTCAAAAAATTGTTTTTCCAAAATTAATTACAATTTAGCGACTTTTGTTTTTTTTTTCAATTTTCTCGTTCAACGTTTAATATTCACTGTCTTGGTTCAAGGAATAAAAAAATATTAAAATAAATTTAGTTTAAGCATTCGATCTAAAAAAAATGAATTAATTGAAATCAGTGGCGCAGTCAAAAATTTTTTTTGCTACGTTTGCTAACACCTAAGTAGGTGACTTTTTTTTGGCTCAGCGCATCATTTTTAAAAACATTGTGATAATAAAGTCAGTGGTTTTGTGCAAAGTTCACCATAATTTTATTTTGTGGGGGGCTGAAATAGTTTTCAGTTCACATTTCTAATCATTTATATAAAGGTTCAGTTTTGTCTATAAAAAAATGTGTCATTTAGCTCCAAAGCTTAGGTTTTTAAATAAAATATTGATTAAAATTTATTTTCTTCTAATTTTATCTGTTTTAGAAACTGCCTCCCAGACCGATTGTTAAAGTTCCATACTTTGTAAAAAAGCCGGTTAGAATGCTATTTACACCGCACAGGCATGGAAATAACTTGCGGAAAAATCTTGCAATCAAACAAAGATATTATCCTCGCCTGGTGTATGGATCCACCTTTGGCAACATGTCCAACACATACACTCACATGTACCTGCCTCCAGCCACAACATTTCAATAATTTTACTTATTCTCAATTCAACGGCAGATATACTTTTAAATTATTCACATTTTTGCAAGCTTTTAAAAATTAAGGTACAATACTACTGATTAATTATATAACTTGAAAACTATTCAAATTTATTTGCTATAACGCTGTTTTTAGATAAAAATTGAATTATTATATTTGCATGAATCTATGAAGAAAAATTTTAAATTTTGAATCAAATGTTGTTTAATCTGTTGATATTTGATGTTTTTAGTTTTCAATTTAGTTTTTAATATTTAACTTTGAAAAATAAGTTTCAATATGCTTTTTAAGTTTTCATCAAAAATATTGCCTTTCATGATATTTTCACCGAATGATTCAGTTGCAACATACACGCACAATGTACATCAGATTTCTAACTACAGAACATGGGAACATTTTCCAACATTCAAAATTTCAAGCCATTATATGAAATATGTGCTTTTTAACATTTTCCGAAATTGCTAAAAACAGTCAATTGAAATCTCGACATTTTCTTTATGTTCGTCAAACTAACAACCCACTATAATCGTAAATAAAATATTTGTGTTATCACAATTGATACTTGCATTATTTTAAAATTCAACAACAAATCAGGGACTTAAGAATGAACAGGAAATGAATACTTATCAAATAATATTCTTAGTGAAGACTGAATTTTTAACAAATATTATTTTTATGACAGGAATTAAACCAGACAAATTCATATGTAACAATATATTAATTGTTACATATGAATGATATGTCCATGTTTGCAGTTGGCCAGAAAAACACTTATCAAAAATTAAACGTCACAAAAATGTAGCATATTTTGTTAACTAAATTTTAACTTTAATATACAAGGCGATAGAAAACAATAGAGGCTGCTAATTTCGCTGCATTCATTCATTTGTTCATTCATTTGTTCACTCACTCACTCACTCACTCACTCACTCACTCACTCACTCACTCACTCACTCATTCATTCATTTACTTATTCTTTCATTGACTGGGCAGCGGACGTGATGGCTCAATGGTTATAGGCGCCTGTTGCAGTGGCTGTGTTGGAATGCAGAGAGATGCCCGCCCATCATATGCAGTATGTGTGAAAGTTATTATGGAAAGATGTTATCAAAAATCATAAAAAACAAAATTGAAACCTCACAAACAAAAACAGTAAAAACAAAACAAACCTTACGACATTCTCTTTGGTCTTGTAAGAGGTCAAATAAAACCCCAAACTATCTGTTCTGATGACTCCAGTGAAGGAGATGTTTGGGAGGATGGAAGACCCTGCGACGAGGGGGGTACTCAATTCTACCTGCATCTGCTCCAAACTTTCGTCCAGTCTCCATTTCTTTACAGTTACTGCATCTTTAATGATATAGATAATGATTATAATATGGTTATAAAAAATTGTTTGGATTTAAAAAAAAAATCAAACTCAACCAAAAGTGGGATGGGTTTGCTTATGCAACTATTCGGACATTAAAAGGAATGATAAAGTTAATGAAAGAAATAAGTTTAGATAAATATATTTTAGTCAAATGTGGGAAACGGCATTTAAAGAAAAAATTATAAAAACAGTAATGTTGGTGGCATTCTTTAAAGTCTAATTTATGAAAATATATATGAAAAGATAAAAAAATTTTAAGAATTAACCATTAAGATCCTTGTAACGTATGTTGACGCTGGAGATTGTAAGGTTTTTACTGTGCAGAACAATTGAACCAGTACTTTTCTTGACTGTGACTTCAACATTTGACCAGCCGCTGAAAGTTGATTTCTGAAGATCAGGATGGATGAGGACCTCGTAACTTTGCGGAATCAAATCTTTCGGCAGTCTCAAATCGTTCCAACAAAATTTAATATCTTCCTTATTTGCAATTTTTCTTAAAAAATGGCATCGCGAATTTCTGGGGTCAGAAGGTTGCTTGGAGAGAGTACTGGTCAGAGTCAGAAAAATCACAAGCAGGCATAAGGAAATTTGGCTAAATTTTTGAGCCGTCATTAATCCACATACCAAATAATATATGAGAGATAGATGTTTACCAACGAATTCTTTTTCGTTATCATTGTTTCTAAAAAAATTCAAATGCACGTATTAAGATTCATAATTGTCTAAAAAATTTAAACAACAAACTTAAAACGCTCAAACCTGAAAGAGAGTTTTAAAATATTTTTTTGAATTGCATTTGAGAATATTGAACTTGTTAAAAAAATTGTTTTGGACTCTGTTGCGGCGCCTCATTTATATCCACATCAGCACCTTCCTCGTTGAATCTGACTTGAACTACCAAATTTAAACAAATTTTATTTTGTCCATTTTTATTAGAGTTGAAAATATTTTGTAGCCGGTTGGTGAAGCGCTATAGGGCGAAAATTAGCCGGGTCGTTGGGATCCCTTTTTTTTATATTAAAAAACGTTAAAGCTTTTCTCCAACAATTTGGCATCGTAGATGAGGACCAACATTTCAACAGTAATTTATGGAGAGAGGTTCTGAGAATTGGACATCTTTTGAAAGCTATTATCGATATTGAAGACCGACATCACCACCGAATGAGGGCAATGGCAGAAACGGGATCCAGTCCAGTATTTTGTAATTAAATTTGTCATCGACTTTCATTGAGCTGTAGAAGAAATTGCTCCAGTTTTTAACATCGAATGATGGAGGTGTTGTTGTGGATGGGCGAGAAATTTTTTTGATGCTTTACAAAAGTTCTTTGATAGTTGAATTAAAACGTCGGATTGATCGGCCGATTTACCTGGACGCCTCGAGTGATGAAGCTTGGACCTAATCAATTTGCTGACTGCAATTATGTCGTTGTTAAACGAATTGTTGTTGCGTCCGAGGATTTTCAAATTCTTCAATTTCTTCTTGAGTTGTTTAATGACGGAATTTTGCATTTTTTTGCGTTTTTGGCAGTTTAATACCCGGGATTGGGTCTAAAGTTGTTGAATAAGTAGTTGTTTGTTGAAACGTAATGGACGTTGTTTTCAGTGATTTGAACATTTTGCAAGTTCGACGGTGCATTAGTAATTATTTTCTACCTTTGCAGTATTTGCCACAGTCACAAAGCAACATGTTATCAGAATTATTATTAATACTTTTAATTATATTTAATATAACAACAACAACAACAACAACAACAACAACAACAACAACAACAACAACAACAACAACAGCTACTACTACTACTACTAATAATAATAATAATAAAAGTTTCAAAAATAGTTTCAATAATTATGTTTTTCATAGACATTTTTAACTTCAATTATGTTGAATTAAAAATAGCTGCCATTAAAAACCATTTAATTATTTTCATTTCATTTTAAAAATGATTATGAGTCATAATTTTGGCGTTTTTAAAAAAAAAGTTTAGCAAATTTTCTTTTTTCATTCATTCACTCACTCATTCATCCATTTATTTATCCATTCATTCACTCACTCATTCACCCATTTATTTATTCATTCATTCACTCATTCGGTTATTTCTTTTTTCCCTATCCATTTCGAGTAAGATTTTAATTCATTCTTCTGTTTGTTCATTGGTTCATTTGTTTGCAGTTTCATAAATGCGTTTATTCATCTGATTATACGTTCGTTCATTCGTTCGCTCGTTCGTTCGTTCAATCGTTCATTCATTCGTTCGCTTGTTCGTTCGTTCATTCGTTCATTCATTCGTTCGCTCGTTCGTTCGTTCAATTGTTCATCCTTGCGTTTATTCAGTGGATTATTTTTTTAATTTTAAATTTCTACATAAAAATTTGTCATCATCAGTCAACTGGTTAATGCCCTTGATAAGGTTAAAAACAAAGCACATTTTTACACACACACACAAACACACACATACACACACACACTACACACACTTACATTTTTTTATACATGCATATACATACATACATATATACATAGTACATACATAAATACATACATACATATATACATACATAACATATATACGTAATACATAAAAAACGGTGGTTGTGAGCTCTATAAAAGAAAGCCGCTTTGTTAACAAATCTCTACAACAATCGATCAGGTTATTCTGTTAATAATAATAATTCTTCTTATTATTAATATATTATTGTTATTATATTAGTCTCGTTATAATTATTTTTATTAGTATACAAATAAACAAATAATTTATCAATTTATCTAGCAAACAAAACCAGCATCTTCCTACCAACAGCCGTGTCTTCCTGTGTGTATGTTTGTTCAAGTTTAAGTAAGTTTAATGTCAAACGTGCGGTTAGGTCAGTGGCCTAGGGGTAAGGGAGCTGTGATTGATTTTAATGTTCTGTGTTGCTGTCACCGGGTTTGATTGCAAAGGGCTCTTCGTATTTGTACATAGTTGTGCATTCAAAATATAGTGTGGATATACGTGTGTGTGTGTGTATGTGTGAAATAAGATTTTGCCTTTTATCCAAAAATTGTAATGAAAAAATATCAATGTTTATGATAATAAAAATATATGTTAATTATAGAAATATATAATTAATTTTAATTAAATTTTAATTAAAAATAATAAAATTAGCGTTAAAAAATTAGTAATAATTAAAAAACAAAATTAACTGTAGAAATGTTTAGACGAGTAAATTCCTTCTTGGCCATAACGATTGTAGTGTCTTTGGTGACGTTGATGATGACGTCATCGCAGGTTCAATGCAGTTTCATTGTTCCTCATTTAAGAGAAGAATCCGAAGAAGCTGGTTATTATGATAAAAACAATAACAACAATAATAACAATAAAAATAACATTATAATAATAACAACAACATAAACAAAATAAATTTAATATCTTTTCACATGGTCATTTTCAATATTTTTATTACTGAACTGATATTCTTTCTTTCTTCTTTCTTGTGCCTTACCTTTTCAAAACATTGGCGACCATTGACCTCCTTTATCCATTTCTGACCTCTCCTTCACACATGTAACTTCCCTCGTTGATTCTGTGAAGGCATCTCTAAATATTTCATATTTAGATTTTCCTTACGTCTTCCGTCAATAACTGAAAACGATTCCGTACTTCAACATTATATCTGACTTTGAACTCGTCATTTTGTGACAGACTGAAAAAATTGAAACGTTTTTGGGCCACTTCTCTTTTGATTTTCTTTAACTTTATCCTGATTTTACAAACAGCTGGGCTATGATCACTGCCACAATCAGCTCTAAGGTAACTTTTGCATTGTAAAACAGTATTTAGAAATCGTCTCTTTATTGTAATATAATCAATTATATTTCTTGCCTTGTCTCCGGAACTTTTCCAAGTATATTTTCTCCTTTGGTGATAGCCAAACCAGGAGTTGGTAATAACTTGATCCATTTGTGACACGCTATTTAATCAACCTATCCCAGGAGAACATACCACGTCATGTTAACTTTTTTACTTCTATATGAGTAATGACCATATCAACATTATTATTTTTATTATTGATATTACCATTATTTATATTCGTTTTATCATTTTTTTATTGTAATTAATATTACTATTGTTATAATTTTATTACGATCATAATATTTCATCACCATCATCATTGTCGTCACCGTTATCATTTTTTCTATTTTTGTATTCTTACCACCAGGCTCCGTGCTGGCAGCAGGTCAGGAAAGTCTGGTGCAAGTTGAACGTCGTCAGGATTTCGAACCGGAAGTTCCATCTCTTCGGTGATTGTGAATGAATGGATGAATGATTGAATGAATGGGTGATAGATAGATAAATGGATCGATGGAAGGATAAATGGATTGATGGATGAATATATGGATGGATGAATTAATTAATGGATATAAGAATAACTGGACTGGATATATTCACGTTTTCAAGTAAACTTGTGAACGAGTGACCGAAGAAATAAATATATGAATACATGAGGCAATGAATGAAAGAGCTAAACTACTTAAATTAACATTCAAAATTGTATTATAATTAATTTAAGGTTAATAATTATCATAACTTATCATTATATATTCTATAATTATAATTATCATTATAATTTGATTGAAAATTCTAAATGTACCTTCAGAGCAATTACATGAGAAAGTTTACGATTGAGTTGGCGTCGTTAAAGAAGAACCCGGCAAACGAAAATAAATTGCAATAATTATTATTAAATTGCATGGGTACAGCCGCCGAAATAAAATCTTTCATAATTTGATCTGTTTTGTGTTTGCTTTTCACAACTTTAAAAATGTTTAATTTTTTTTTCAATATTTCTAATTTTAAATTGGTATTCCAAAAAATTAATCATTTCTTTATTGTACTTCTTACGACAAATTGACAATTTTAAAATTTGGTTATAATAAGAAATAAAAATAAAAATTATATATTAATAGTAATAGTATTAATAAAAGCTATTGATTAAATTTTTAAATAAAGTTTGTTCAAAAACAAACCAAAAGAATCAACTTTCTAAAAATGCCAAAAATAAATATTACAAAACTTTTACGATGTGGAATAACTAGGCATATTTATTTTGTCACATGGGCCGTAAAAATTTATTACTCAATTAATAGTAATTCAATACTTAATCGATAAACAAATTCTGCAAAAACAAATTAAATGAAATTTGAAACTCCAAATAGTTTACTAACTTTTATGGTGTTTAATGTTAGATTCAATGCTAGTTTGCTGGCGGTTCAAGTTAATAATAATAATAATAAGTTTAAAGTGGTTCAGTATACTAACATCTGTGTAAGAACCACAACAAAATAAATGTTCTAGTATCCTTACCCTCCTAGCTTGATTTTAAAATTGTTGATTGAATCTACTGAAAAATTTCCTCGCTCAGCTCGTTCCAGGCGTTTAACAGCCTGCTGCTGAAGAATTTTTGCTTTATTGGATTCTCTGTCTCCTTGAAGAGCTTGTGTCTGTGACCTCTTAATCCTTTTTTTTATTCTAGTTGAAAGAACCTGGTGAACGGTGTTTCTTTTTTTCCCAGTTATTTAACTTGTATGTCTGAATCAGACCCCCTCTGCATCTTCTCCTTCCTGGTGTTGTTAA